CAATGGAGAGTTTGGTGTGGAATTTAAGGGAGTAGGGAAGGATGGGCTGGTATGCGAAATTGTGGTGGGACAGGTTGCAGTTAGAGTGCTTCAGCATGGGATATTTTGGACAACAAGTCCTTAGCTTCTGAAAGGATTCTGGTGATAAGGTTCAGGTCAAGGTCCAGCTCTTTGGTTACTGGTGGTGGTTCTGGTTGTTACTGAAGGTCAGATTCTCTCCTTGGCGCAGCTTCCACTGCCTGACTGTACCGTTTTGTTCTTTTGCCCCTGAAAGGCAACTCAGTATCTTGTTAGAAACAGGATAAGGCCAGTTTGAGGTGGTTCTGTGAACCATACCTAAGAAAATTGGCAATTGGTTTTAAAACAGATCAGATATCTAGACTATATTTCACATTGTCCGCCTTGTTCCTAAACTGTGTTTTTATTGTTGGTTTGTTTGAAGTTTGTGTTTTGCATTTGAATTTAATGTTTCTTATTTCTTTAACAGTCTTAACGCTCTTCTTTTATTTCATCTCCTTATACTGTTTGTTTACTCCATTTAATTTTATATACATTGGTGCAGTGCCTTCAAGTAACACACCCACTGTGTCTTATAGCTTAATTTTTCTATTCCATATATTTCTGTAAACTTGAAGTTAGAGCTAAAGGCTTGTTAGAATCAGGTTAAAACAATTTTGGCAAGAATACATTTTAGGTGATACAGACTAAATAGAAAGTAGAATGAGAATTTGCCAGTTGATAAAGTCAGGAAGCGAATTTCAAAAGTCTGTTAATAAAATGTCTGTTAATAAATGTCGGTTAATAATTAGTAGAATTTTGTCAAACAGTAGACAAATTTAGATATAATCAGAGATGTTGGCGATGGAGACATTTCTAGAAACCTACTCTTTAGTTCTCAGGGATTTCTTGCATATTCTGTACTATATACTTCCTTTGAAGAAATGTAACCTCCTTCTGGTTTTAGGGATACTCAGAATGAACATAGAGTCATGCTCTGTCTTTGGTAATTATTGAGAGAAAAAGAGAAAGGGAGGGAAAGGCAGGGCAAGGGCAAGGGCAGGGAAGGGCAGGGAAGGGAAGGGAAGGAGGGAAAGAGGCAGATATTTGTAAATTGCAAGATTTTATTAGATGTGTGTTCTCTCTTTCTAAACATGGTTGTAAAGAAATGTCAAGATGATTGTGTCCTATTAGGGGGTTATGAGAGTCACAACAAACAATATTTATATGCTATCATAGAGGCTGCAACAGTTGAATAAATTGAGGGATGAGAGGCCAATAAGAATTGTAATGGGGAAGAAAAGTACAACACCCACTCTGCATGACCAGCAGTGGTTAGGAGTTCTGGTTGACAGTCACACTCTGAATAACTGATTGATCCTAATCTGGGACCAGGTTCACTAGTTTTGTAGGAGGACACAGACTGAGACAGCATATCAACATAAGATACATCTTCATTGAGGAGCTTACATTCACCCAGGTGCAGCTTTTATACTGTAACAGGTAAGATCAAACATGTGGATATATATCACATCAGCATAGGAAAGTGCTGGAACCACTTCTGTGAATGGAACCACTTCTCAGAGCAGTTCATGAGTAGCTTCCAGGTACCCTCAGGGCTCACTTTTGGTTTCAAGAACACACACACCACAGGGAAACAGAGTCTATTGTTTTTGTAACAAGCTTGTATAGTTAACATACAGTCTTTCCAGTTTTCATGCTTTTCACTAGTTGGGAAGTCATTTTTATAATAAGTAATGTCACCTAGTATTAACAGTTGACAGTCTATATTTATTTTTACCCTGTAGTCCTAAGTGCTAGGAGATAGTATTAAAGGATTTATTGCCTTGGCCAGGTGGCCCAGTTGGTTGGAGCGTCGTCCTGTACAGCAGAAGGTTGTAGGTTCAATTCCTGGGCAGGGCACATACCTAGATTGCGGGTTTGATCCTTGGTTGGGTCACATATGGGAGGCAATCAATCCATGTTTTTCTCTCACATGTCTGTCCCCCTCCTGCCTTCCTCTCTCTAAAAAGCAATAAACATATCCTCAGGTCAGGATTAATAAAAAGGATTTACGCTTGTTAACCTTTGTCTCCAGAAGACTCCTTTGAGAAGGGAAGATTTAAAACAAAAAAAACCCTTTTGTACTTTTGTTGAGAATGTATTAACAACGGTGGATCTCTTTAACAGAAACTGCATATATTTATACATACAAAAAATTTGCATACAATTTCCTAGGATTCTTAGTTTTCCTCTAAGTTTTCGTTTAAAGGTAGAGGAAAGTGTATTTTAGTTTCTGGATAACAAATGAAGATACAGAGCTGGCCATAGCAGGGTGCATTCTTGGAAATAAGAGTTGGTCAGAGCAAGGTACCTGTTAGACTACAGGGGAATAAAATTATTTAGGTTGGACAGACTCTGAAATGTGAAATTTCTTTTTACATTTTTGCCTCCTCCCAATGATGATTACTTTTGTTGACTGCCTTTCTTCCCCCCACATTTATCTCAAAGTTCTTTTCTTTCTTGACTTTTGTGAAATAATCTTTCTCTTTTCTCTGCTTTCTCTCCCTACTGTTAAATTTAGATATTCTTCAGAGTTTTCTCTAGCCTCTTCTCATTTTAATTTTTATTTTTACATTAAGATTACTTTAGTTATCACTTATTTGTTGATGCTTAAATCTCTCTATGCCTTGGGAAGAACCCCTGACTTCTACCCAAGAGTGTGCACTTTAGAGGCACACAGCCTCAGTTTGAATCCTGGTTCTGCTGTTATTTATTGTTTGACCTTTGGCAAGTTACTTAACTGCACTTTCCCCATCTATGAACTGATACTTAACATTATAGGGACTTGTTAGGATTAGATGAAATTAACTCAGTAACATGCTTAGAGCATTGCCTGTTGCTCTAAGTACAAGTGACTTATAACAGCTGTAGTTATTATTATTAGTGATCAATAACAGCTGTTGTGGTTGTTATTCCCGTACTCAGAGTTGTTTTTCCCTCTAAACTCGCCCTCCTCACCCCCAGAGTTGGCTAGCAATTGCAGAACATTACAAGGGAAGCCAAACAGGTCAGTGGTCAACATACTGAATATTTATTCTTAGCAAACTTTAGTAGCAACTATACCTTATTTAATAAGGATTTGTATGTTTTTATGGTATGGTATTTGACCAGAAATTATCTAATGTGATTGTATTGGGGGTTCCCAAGGCCACCCCAGGTTCAGTGACGTACCAGGAGAACTTACAGGACTCAGAATATGGTTGTGCTCCCAAATATGATTTATTACAGTGAAAGGACCCAAAGCAAAATCAGCCAAGAGAAAAGGAGCATGGGGTAAAAAAGTCCAGGAGAAGCCGGGGTAAACTTGGAGTCCTCACCCAGTGGTGTCACAGAGTAGGCTTACTCTTCATCAGTGAGCTATGCGGTGCCTACTGTTTACACTCGGTGCTGTTCATGGTGCCAACATTTCATATTTCCGGAAAAAAAGTTTAGGCAGAGTTTAGGCACAGAAAGCTTTTCTTACCAGGGAATGAGGAGAACCCTTCTGAAATCTTTAAGTTCCCAGGTGCCAGTGAAGGGCCAGCCTTGCAAGGAGACCTTTCTAAGGATAGCCTCAGGCCTGCTATGTTAACTTTTTTCTGTACAGAGATATATTATAAAATGTACTTTCCATAAGAAACCAATACAAATTTATACATTTTAAAAACCACTTTATTGAGATATAATTCATACACCATAAAATTTACCCATTTAAAGTGAACAGTGCAGTGATTTTTACTATATTTATACAGTTGTGCATCCATCAGCACAAGCTGATTTTAGGACATCTTTTTTACCCTGAAAAGAAACCCTGCTCATGAGCAGTCATTCCCTGTTCATAACTGTCCCTCCCCCTCTCTTAATTCTTAACTTCAGCCGCAGGCAACCACTAATCTATTTTCTGTCTCTGTGGAACAAATCTAACATTTAACATGTTTTCACCATTATTTCATCTCTGATATTAATGGGTTTGTAAGGAGGTAGTTCAGAAGTTATTCAGAGATATTTTTCTTTCAGTGTTTGTCAAAGAGTCAGAGTTTGAGTCTCTGTAATCTCCAAACCAGAGCCTTACCAACAGTAGTCATCCTCACAGTTGATCTTACATGAGTTAGTGGTATTTAATGAAGTAGTTCTTTATAAAGGCAAACTTTGTTGTCACTTGTAAGTATGCTATACAGTTGGTTGAGGCTTACTGATGAGAATTTTGAGCAAAAAGTATTACTTTATAAGAAGTGGCCATTTTTTTTTTACATTCTCTCCTAGAGAGGCACAATATGCAAGAATAAATAAAAAGTAAATTTACACGTGAATTTATAAATTATATTTAAAGAGTTATAAAAATTCTTTAAAATTGTAAAAAATTTATTTATTTTTAATACATCTTTATTGATTTCAGAGAGAGGAAAGGAGAGGGAGAGAGAGAGATAGAAACATCAATGATGAGAGAGTCATTGATCGGCTGCCTCCACGCCCCCAACTGGGGGTGGAGCCCACAACCCGGGCTTGTGCCCTGACCGGGAATCGAACCCTGATCGCCTGGATCCCAGGTCGACGCTCAACTGCTGAGCCACGCCCGGCCGGCCTAAAATTGTAAAAAATTTAAAGCAAAGGGGTTTGTGAGTTTTTAAATCATTATTTTGATTGAAATCTAGTTTCACCCATAACTGAATTAGTAGACAAGTTGTACTGTAAACCAAGAACTGTAGCAAGTTCTTTGTTTTGTGGTAAAAACACAGAACTTAGTTACCACGAGTTATGTAAGTAAGGGCTGACTAACCTTGGGTGTTTACCTAAGTGTCCAAATCTGTGTAAACTCTTATGCTTTTGAAATATGTTTAATTTTATTGCTATCATGTATATAATTAAAGGATATTTTTGGACATCAGGAATTAATATAGCAATGATTTATTTTCAGGGCCACAGCCCCAGAGCTCATTGTTACTTCCCTGCTTATCTTCCAGGTGATCTTACAGCAAGATGCTGCTGTCCATCGGGATGCTCATGCTGTCGGCCACACAAGTCTACACCATCCTGACTGTGCAGCTCTTTGCATTCTTAAACCTACTGCCTGTGGAAGCAGACATTTTAGCAGTAAGTATGGTAAAATTGATTCATGTCTAAAAATATCCCTGAAAGAAAAGCTTTCTAAGAGTCTTATACACGTGGTTGTTATGTGAAAGTGGGAGGACCTTACTCATCTTTTAATGGCTTAATATCTAATGTACAGTAAATACACAATAGATGTTGCTTTTGCAAGTGTGTGCACTCCCTAGAGTGCTCATGCACATGTATAGCTACATGCTGTGTATTTCTTTAGATGCTTCCTGTTTTTCTTGATAATTAGTATATCCGTAATGACTTTGAAAGTGTTATTTAAAACAATTATATAAGATGTCCATAGAAATAGTAAACTAAGATTAATGGTAATGAGTCAGAAGAAAAGCACAATGGTTTATATGTGATGGTGGATAAAAAAGATTGTAGAGAACATCACTCTTCAAAACCTAGAGTGTCATTTCTAGGCTACTGTCTTACTGTCCTCTAAACTAGGAAGTGCACGTTTTCTATTTCTCATTTTTGTGAAGCTAGAAAAAGAAGAATTTACTCTGTGTGTGTGCATGTGTGTACCCATGCACATCTATATTCTAGGTACTGTGCTAAGGTTTACTGTTTTTACTTTCTCGGTACAAGTGATTTGCTTACTGACATTAGGTGAGATCTAGAAGGGCCAGTTGTTGCTGATGAAAGCTTAATGTGGTCCTCAGCCATGTGTCTGCATACTGTAGCACTTGTGAAAGGGTCTAGGATCATTGTAGAGCCTGGGAGAGCCAGGATGGTTTCTATACTGTAGCTTTTGAAGGTTTAGCAATTCTAATCCCTAGGAGATTTCTCACCCTCTGTTTACTGCCTTTAGTAGGGAACTCACTGATTAGATTATTTTTTAGGAAAGTGGATCTTTTTGAATTGGAATGGAAGTGGAACTAAGAGTCCATTGTTATTCAAACCTCTCCTCTACATTAGCCCCCAAAGTCCTTAGAATATTCTTGGGATGACTTTTGAAATTGTTACTGGAGAATCAAACTCCCCTGTCACTTGTGGGCGTGAGGTTGTTGTGATCTCTTCAGAAAATGAATTTTCTAAGCTTTGCATGAGAAGATGGGATGTGGAAGAAGGCTTTATTTGCGTGAAGTTACATTTCTCGGGCTCCCCTTAAGCCAGTCCTGGAAAAGGTGCAGCTGGGGTTCCAGCAGAGCCAGAAGGAGGGCCAGTGTCCAGAGTTTTTGATCCATGTTGCAGCCGGTGTGACTCAGCATTCAAGCTAATTAAAGTCCATTGGTCCATGTGTGGAGCCCAACAGGGCTGTGTGCCATGTGGGCACAGGGGAGTGTGCCCCTGCAGCAAGTCAAAGGAGTCTGGCACCCTGGAGCCAAGAGAGGGTTGCTTCTTTGTCTATAAGTTTATGTATTTAGATTTCATGGGCTTGCACTGGCCACTCCCATTCTGGGACAGATAGATACCCTTCCAGTCACTCAGACCTTTATGGGGCATGGGTTTAAACTGCCTTTGTCCAGTCACTTCCCCCATCAGTCAACAGGGAAGACTTGGAGAGTGTTAAATGCTGCTTTTCGGCAAGCTGTGTAAATGCATGCCTATGCTATTAAGCCTTTCCTTTCTTGTTAAATATTAACCAGGTTATTACAGTGGCATCAAAATGAGGTGGGGGATATATGGACTGATCAGGGAGTGAAGTTCCTCTCGTCTGCCTTTTCTCCTTTGATTTCTTCCATCCCCCCCCTCCCCACCACCTCCCTCTCTTCTCTGTTCTAACACCTGCCACTTCTTGTCATCTTTCTTCCCTTTCTACCTGAGGTGGACTGTTATTCCATGGTTCAGCTGTGGTGGGTTAAATGACTATCAGTGGACTGCTCTGGGAACTGAACCGCTGTGTGGCCTTGATCAAATTATGTAGCCACTATAAGTGCCTCAGTTTACTTATTTATAAGCCGGGGTGTTGCAGTGATGATTAAATAAGGTAAACTTCTTAGAACAGTGTCTCCCACAGAGTGAGTGTTTTATCTAGTTTACTGCATTTATAGTTATCATTCTCATCACCCTTCACTCCCATGAGCAGTGTGTGAGACTGCACAAGGTGAATTTTTTAATAGCTACAAAACAAATATTAGGTATAGAACAGTCATTTCTTGCCGTCAGTGTTGCCTGTGCTTCAGGAAAGTGAGTGTGGAATGTGTGATGTTATCTGGTGAAGGAACCATCAGGGGAGTTGCTTAAATCTGGCCTTTGTCCTGACACTAACAGATGGAAGGCGGCAGGAGTGCAGAGGTGGCCGGAGGGGAGTGGGGTGTGAAGGCATGCGACTGGCCAAAGGAGAGCTAAATATTCAGACTGGGGCACTGATGTGGTGTAACACGGTTACTCAAAGGAAGTGAGTCAAGAGGTAGAAAATATTAGCTCTTCCTCTTAATTGAATAAGAACATCCCTAAAATCTGAGTTTGGAGCAATACAGATTTAAATAAGTTGATAAAGATTGATTCTAGTTCCTTTTTGGACAAGTATTAGGATTCTGCCTTTGAAATGATAGTTTTAGTCTTGTTATTTGTATGCCAGAAGATTTTATTTTGGACAGTTGAATTCTCCCATTTAATTGTTAATTTCCTGACAATAGCATTTGTCCATCTAGTTGGTGAGTTCTAAGAAACTATTGGAGATGCTACTATAGTGTGTTGCTAACTAGTCAGTGAGCTCCCTAGATCATGAGTACCTGGAAGGCAGGACTGGGTCTTACTAAATGTTATGTTTCTTGAGCCTAGTGCGAGTTACACAGGAATTCAGTAAATGTTTGACCTGATAGTTTTTCATAGGAGATTTAGTTCTTTCATTTTCTTTTAATAGTATTCACTCCTTAATACTTAAGATTGTTGTTTCTGTTAACAATTCATTCTCTTCTCTTATCTCGGTTCTCTTTCCTTTGACCCAAAGGAAATGTGAAACTATTAATTATGTAGGTTTATATCTAGAAACATGGAGCTTTAGAATTGGCTGGGGCCTTACACTTTAATGATAAACAGATCAATGTGGAATATCCTGAGGCTCATAAGCTACAAGTGACTTGTTAGCTTTGAGTAGTGCTGTGATCTTACTGAGAAGTAGTATCTACCTTATATATTTTCAGAGAGAGTCAACCCAGTTCTGGTTTACTCCCAATCTGCCTTTTGATTCTGTTGTAGGGATTTGTCAGGGAGAATTTGTTGAGTGGTAGGTGGTTGTGAGGGTCAGTGGGCAGAGTAGGAGACAAACACCCAGTGGTGTGAATAGATTGGATTACACAGCATGGTAGTTAAGAGCTTTAGCAATTGAATTAGAATCTGAGTTGAATTTAACATCTCTTGTCTCTTGAGACTGTATGAATGACAGTGTAGGGCAATGGGTTAAGAGCCAGAGTTCTGGGGCCAGACTGCCTGGATCAGAATTAGAATCCTGGTTCCTCTCATTTACTAGAGCAAGTTATTTTCAGTGTCTGTGGTCTCTCTCAAATGGGGATGAAGATACTAGTGACTCACTGTACAGGGTTGTTGTGAGGATTAAATAAGTGAATACCTGTTAAGTGTTTAGCATGATGTCATAAATGCTCAATAATTGTTACTTTCTAAATTAGTACTTTCTAAAAGTAGTACCTTTTTTAAAAAAAGTATTGCCTACACACAATTGTAGTTTTCTTTGGTCTATCTATGTTGATCTAGATCAGTTTATTTTATAGTGGTGTCTTTGGCCTTGGAAGAGTTGAATGACTTCCTCAAATTCAACATAGAGCTGATCATAATGGAATTAAATAAATTAAACAGAGGTCTTTTAGTTAACAGATTAAACAGTTCATGTGGTGATGGGTATAACAGCACTTTGTGACTCTAAAGCATTTGTAATCATAGCGCACTATGCAAAGATGAATTAATGCGACAGTAGGGAATTACCCAGAAGCAGTGCTGGCCTTCAAGTATAACACCAGGCGAATTATTCCAGAGTCAGCACAGTGGATAGGTTCAGTGACCAAATGCTTGAATCACACAGTTTATTGAATTAATTACAAACATACGGAGAGAAGTACAGGTAACAGATGGATATGCTGAGACACTTGGAATAGGGTACCAGTGGAGGGCAAGAACCACACTACCTGAGTCCTGTGTTACTGTCATTAGTTTGTCCAGTCTCTCTGCGGCATCAGCTTTCCCTGGTGTCAGGATGGTTACCAGGACCTGAGCTGAGGGTTAGCAAGGGGACTTGGCAGATGGAAGGTGTCTGGATCCAACCTTTGCTTGCTCTGTTGGAGAGGTGAGAGGTATTTGCATATGAACACCGCTGTAACTTGTGTTCACCTGAAGAGCTATTTATCTGCTTCTCTCTGGCGGATGACACATGAAGCTAGAATGGAGATCCCCAGTAGGTGTTTGGTTTAGGGATGACATAGCCATCAGTCTAGATGTGCGACATAATCCATGCTTTGTGGATATTTAAGAGTTGCTTGATCCTTCCATCCTTTGCTGTCTATATGTAACACTCTTGCTTCGTTCCATTCTTTTTATGTGTTTTCAAAACAGATATATGCTAGTTTTTCTGGGTTTTTTTGCCTATAATTTATGGCAACTGTCTGGACTTCTAATGCACCATACAAGTTTTGTCTGTGTTTCAAAAGTCACTCGTTTATTCCCGCAGACTAGGATTTTCTGTATTGAAACCTTTGTATCAGAAGTTAACAGACTTTAGTACAATAAATAAAGGTCAGTTTCTGTTACAAAAAAAAAAAAGTTACTTGTTTACCATATTTGCTTAGTTTCATCTATATTTTTTGTTTTTCTTATTTTCTATATAGCAGATTGAACATTCTTAAATAATACAGCACACTCACTTCACAATTATATTTACTATTATTTTCTAGAAGCACAGAGAACCCTTGTTTTGTTTTGTTCTGTTTTGCTAGAGGACTGATAAATACTGTAGCATAGGAATCTATATCTATAAGGAAGGGGAAAGTTGTTAAAATAGTTTTTTTAATACTTTCAGCTCTCTATATGTATGTACACTACTTCATTCAGTTTAGTCCTTTCATTGTTTAGCCTTAGATAAAAATGCTCAGATTATATAAGAAATGACAATGCTTTAAATGCGTTATTTGATGCCCCTTCTGGGGAAAAGGCATTTTTCATAGCTAGGCCCATAAACCCTGTAAATCTCTTCTATTAAGTCAGACCCTTATAATAGAGAGAAAATAAAGTAGAATTCTTGCTGAGAAATAATCTGTCTAAAAAATTTCTTGCTAGGGTATTGTCTGTGGGAAAAACTCAGAAAATAATTGGCAGTTTAATGTTAGGGAATTATTGCTGTTTAATTATATGAAATCAGAATCCAATTTAAGCAGCTTTATATATAGTAAATTTTATATGTTCGTTGCTATTTTAGTGGATGTGCATTTACAGAGTTATTTTTCTTGTGATAAACTGTGATAATAAATTAGAATTGTGGAAATGACAACTGAAATAATTTAATAAACTTTTTGTTTTTAATGTTATGTGTAAATCGGTTGTAACTTGATCGTTTTTGATTTTACATTTAGTATAATTTTGAAAATGTGTCTCAGACATTTGATGACCTTCCAGCAAGATTTGGTTATAGACTTCCAGCTGAAGGTTTGAAGGTAAGAGAATAGTAATATATGCTTACGGCACAAGGTATTTAATAAGATGATTTTATTACTATTTATTTGTTTTAAGAATGAAAATATTTATTACTATTTCTCATCATAAAACCCATACATATTCATTTGTACAGGGTTTATAGACTATTCAAAAGGTATGAAGAAGAAAGTGAAAATCACCTATGATTGTCTTATTCTGAACTAGACACTGTTAATATTCTGGTATACGATATTTTAGACCTGTTTTCTAGGATATGTGCCATGTGTGTGTTTGTAGATATGTGTGCATATATATGTGAATGCTTATATAGATAATGAATCTGTATTTAACACTAGTGGAGGTGTGTTTTTATTTGCAATGGCTGCTTGGCAATTTCATAAAAAACTATGAATTTTTGAACATTGATTTGTTTAATCTTTCATAGTGGATATTTAGATTGCCCAGTGTTTGCTATTACAAACAGTGCTATAATGAATGTCTTTACCCTTGTGTGTCTGTTTATTTGCATAAGATACTTTTCCAAATGTAGAATTGCTTTGTTTATGAAACATGTTTAAAATGCTGTTGGTGTTCCAGGTTGCCCTTCCAAATTTAGTGTCTGAGGCTGTCCTTTTCGCCATTCCCTCTTTGATACCAGATGTTACCAAATATTTGTTAATTGATAAAAAAACATCTAATGAGATTGACCATCTTAATGTTTTTTTGCCTATTGTGTGTGTGTGCCTGTGTGTATGAGGGAGAGAGAGAGACCTTGTTAATGCTCTTTGCCCATTTTTAAATTAAGATGATTCTTACTGATTTGTAAAAATTCTTTGTGTATTGGAAGGATCAGTCTGTTGTTTGCTATTATGCTTCAGATGATTTTCCCCAGTTTTTCTCTCATCTTTTAACTTTGTTTAAGGTTTTAGAAGTTTTATTTTAGTTAAAAATTACTGCTTTTTCTTTCTACCTCTGTGTTCATGGTTAAAAAGTATTTCCTATTCCAAAGTAATATGAAGTTTTTATGTTATATAAGTTAGAATACATGAAATTGTGTATATACATACCACAGAATGTTTTTAATTAGATATTGTAAAACTATTGTTCTCAATTAGGTTGACAGGCACTTCTGGGAGCTGCTTGCCAGCTTTTAATTTTTTAAAGATTTAAGAAATTGTTTTTAGTGTATGTGCTGCATTCATGATTTTAAATTATTTTTTTGAAACTCCCAGTGCTGTCTGACTCTTTCTCATCGTAAAAGTATTTAAACAGAAGAGAAGTAGGTGTACAGAGGAAAAGGAAGGCCTTCCTTCACCCCTTCATTTACCTGTGCACGTCCCACTCTTCTCCTTGGAGTTAAACATTAGGGTGTTAGGTGCTATTGTAGGCCTTTAGATCTTGTTTTCTGAATATGTAGTGCTTTTTGTTCATGAATTTATAAACTCATTAAGTTCATACTTGGTTATCATTTGTGTATATGAAAGTTTTCTTAATTTTTATAATGGAATCCCTTCTAGCTAATTTACGTAGAAAGGGGTTTATGAAGGGCTAGAGATGTTCAGAGTGTCAGAGCCTGGAAAAGTAGTTTCCGTCCTGTTTCAGGAATAAAACCCAGAATCACCTGTAGAACGGGCTTGTAAAGGATTAATGTAGCCACTGACCTCCAAAGCACAGCCCCTTTCCTCTGATCAGGGGACCTCTGTGGTTCCACCTCAGAATATTCTGACTACTGCTACCCAAGCTAATCAAGCACCTACCCTTTACCAGGCTCTTCCCCCAGATCTGACTCCTGGATTTTTCTTTCTGACCACCTGCAGGCTACATAGTGACTAACCACATACTTTAGTGAAATATTAGCTGTGAGGGAGGCTGGTGTCAATGTTAGAAATGTTCAAACCCATAGAGACTTTTTATCTGTTCTTCCCCAAGCTCACTGAACTCTGTATCTGGTAGATCACATGTCTCCATATGGTTTAATTCTTTTTCTGGAATTTTCCCATTCATTTGGGACTTGTTTGTCTCCTCATTTTGGCTGCCTCTCTCTGTGTGTTTCTGTATATTAGGTAGATCTTCTACATCTCCCAACCTTGGCAGGGTGGCCTTATGTAGTAGGTGTCTTGTGGAGCCCAGTGGTGCAGTCTTTCTCATCGCCTCAGCTGGGTGCTCCAAGAGTGTCCCTTGTGTGGGTTGTGTGTGTCATCCTTTGAGCCTTTGATTGCTGTTGGAAAGTCAGTGGGTTGGGTTGAGCCTCAGGTTAGCTAGGTGGGAAGATGGCCATGACCACAGCATACCAGCTGCTGTGCAGAGGCTGACCCCAAGGAGTGAGATTCGCCCCAGCAAGGCTTTGGTTCCTACCGAGACCATCCTTTAGGTATGCTGTTTGTGGAGCTAGTTGGGTGGTGCTGTGTTGTGGTCTGAAGCTGGCTACTAGGTGTGTTGGTTTTGATGCCTCTTGGAATGGGCTCCTGTGCAGGGCAAGGTCACCTGCTGCCTGTTCTTGGCCCTAGGCCTCCTGGTAGGAGCTACAAAGTGATCCACAGTTGGTAGCTGCCTGTAGTGGGCCTGGAGGCATATGGGAGAGGCCACAGGGCAAACCCAGAACCCAGGCTGGCCACACCACAAAGCAGTGCTAGGGTCACTCTGCAAGAGGCAGAGGGCATGGTGTGTCCATTAGCTACCTTCCCTGACCCTTCGAACCTTTGAGAGTTATTAGGACAGTCTGCAGAATACTCACCCTAAACTTCAGTGAACGGACAGCAGCTTGAAAGGTACCAAAACATACAGGGAGAAAGTGACTTGTGTGGCTTAAGGTGAGGGTTGGAGGGATAGCTGATATTGTTCCTGTGTTGAGCACTCCCCCGACACAGTCTGCAGGCACAAGTGCTGCAGACTTTCTTAAAAACTCTCAAGGGTCCACAGACCCCAGGCAGGTGAGTATTGGCCTCAGTGTGTCCTGTACTTCTGCCTCAAAGGCTCCAGCCCCAGCAATGGTGCCAAATCTGAATTCATTAACCGGGTGAACACCGCTTGCCTCTCGCTGATGACTCCGATACCTTGCCCCACCCAAAGCTCTTTCACTGGCCGTTGATCACTGGTTTTCCAGGTTGATTGTTTTACAATATAGTTGTAATTTTGATGTGGTCATGGGAGGAGACAAACACAGTGTTTACCTACTTCATTACCTTGACCAGAAGAAGCATCTTTGACATCTTTTAATCAGAGTTTATTAAAATCTAAACTCTAACTCATTGATAAAATATATAACCTAAAAAGGTAATAAATCTAAAATCTAATTCTAATAAAATATGTAACCAAAAAAGGTTATTGGGAAGACTTCTAACAGTGTATACAAGATGAGATGTAACTTTGAGGTGAAAGATACTCAGTTACTGCTCTCAGTAGTGTTACAAATGTAATATCTAATTTGTGAAGAGGTTTTTAAAATCCTTTTCTTAATCCAGCTAACCTTATTTTAAAAACCTTTTCTTAATCCAGCTAACCTTTTTTTTTTTTTAATCCTCACCTGAGGATGTATTTTCATTCATTTTAGAGAGAGGAAGGGGGAGAGAGAGAGAGAAACATTGATGGGAGAGAGAAGCATCAATTGGTTGCCACTCATACGCTCCCGACTGCGGATCAAACCTGCAACCTAGGTATGTGACTGACCAGGAGTCAAGCCCGAAACCCTTTGGTGTATGGGACGACATCCAGCCAAGTGAGCCACCTGGCCAGGGCAGGGGTTTAACTTTTAGTTGGTATATAACCCTCACATTTCTATCGTATTCAGTGCATTTCTCAGTGATGTGCAGAAGGTATGACTATCAGATTTGCAGATGGCATGAAGCTTGGAATGGTTAATATACTAATACTTTGCCCTTGAGTCTTAAAAGATAGGTACCGAAAAGAGTAGAAATATAGCTTAGTTGCAACATGTCAAAAATTTATTGAAATAACTGTGCTGTATTTGCCAAAAACCGAATTGGGTTTTACAGTGCATCAGTAGAAGTATAATGTCTAGAACAGGCTATTGAGTGATAGCTTGGGGCACCTTTCTGCTTACTAGGTGGGATGCAGCCCGATTCATGAATTGTCGAATAAAGCCAATTAGATCTTGAACTTATAAAAAATAAAAAAAGAGTGATAGTTCCCATCTGCCGTTACATTGGTCAGGTCATTTATAGTACTATGGTCAGTTTTTGGCACCGAGCCAAAATAGAGTGAAGCTTAAGAACCAACACAAACACTTTTTTTTGTTAATGCCTCCCCTAGAACAGATTTGCCCTGATCTGTACAGTTGTACTACACGTTGCTCATTCTTTGTTTTCTCTTATCTTATTGGATCTGTTTGTTCTTTTCAGATATTAGTTGGGTTGGGACTCAGTCTTACCCATCCCAGTGCTTAAACAGGGCCCTCATGAAATGCAGCCAGTGTATTCAGAGCATAGTGTTCAAGGAACTTACTATGCTATCAACTATGGTTAAAGGATGTTTTGCTGCATAAGAGGAGAGTAATCTCCAGTTATTTGTGAAAAAGGAATTAAATGGGTCCTGTATATGAAAGTTACTGGTAGATTTTGGAAGAATGACCTAATAAAGAATTAGAGAAAAGGGCAGTGGATATTTTTAACATTCTAGAAAGTTTTTGATATAAATAAAATCATTTGTCTCATATTAGGAAAGTGATAACTGATACCATCTGATCAGTATTACTCTTTTGTTCTAGGCTTGAATGTAAAAAACTGACAGAAAGGTTGACATCCTTTTTTTGTCTATCCTGATCTGAGGATATGTTTTTTATTTTTACAGGGAGAGAAAGAGTGAGAGAGAGAAGGAAACATCGATGCTCAGAGAAACATCAATCGGTTGCACCCCGTATGTGCCCCAGCCAGGGATCGAACCCACAGCCTTTTGGTGTATGAGATGATGCTCCAGCCAGCTGAGCCACCTGGCCAGGGCAAAAGGTTGACACCTTCATTTGAAGTATTTGCATCAAATTTTGGAATCATCCTTATTGCCTTTTAGACTAACATCTTCGTGGTTCACTTTTGTAAATGTTCATTTCTCTGCTGGTCCATTTTGTTCTTCACCCACTGTATTGTCTTTTGGAGACAGAATAGCAGAGTGGTTGAGAACATAGGATCTGGAGTCAGACTTCCTGGGGTCGCATGCCTGCTCTGTGTAACCTTGGGCAAGTTACCTCTTTTGAGACTTAGAGTCCTCGTTTTTATTTACTTATTTGTATCTTTATTGATTTCAGAGAGAAGAAGGGAGAGAGAAACATCAATGATGAGAGAGTCATTGGGAATTGAGCCCACAGCCCCAGGCATATGCCGTGACTGGGAATTGAACTGCGATCTCCTGGATCCTAGGTCAATGCTCAACCGCTGAGCCACTCCCGGCCGGGCAAGAGTCCTCATCTTTAAAATAGGGATGATACTAATAGTCATTACCTCCTAGGGTTGCGAAGGCGAACTGAATTAGAACATTTAAAGGGCATAGTGCTTGACACAGTACTGAGTGCCGTGCCTCTGCAAATGTTAACAGCTTGGTGTTACTGCAATTATTGTTAATTCATAACTTCAGGTATTCACTGAGAAAACAGCTTATCACTTCTCTTCTCTCCCTGCTTTCACTTTTATACTCTAACGAAGGCAAAGGTGCACTGCTGCCTCGCTTTCAGCACTTTTGTTGCCGTTTTTGTACTTTTCTTCATTTTACTCACTGCATAGTGTAACATTCACTGAAACCTGAAGAGAGGGAAAGTCTAAGGCTCTTTTTAGCCTGAAACAGTTTTTGAAACAAAACCACTTCATTAAATTATCTCTGTGACTTTATTAACCAATGTAATTTATCAACAGAATAATATTTCCCTAATGTTTACCCTGAAATACTGCAATTCTGAATACCCTCTGAAGCACTAAAGCAGAATTATATTTGTATGATTTTTATGTTTAGATTATTTCAGTTAAGTGTAACCTAAATCACTTTGGAAAACTGCTTGGTGGTATTTACTAAAGCTTAATACTCAGTGATCCTGTTTGATATCCTATGATCCTACATTAATGCACATACTTCATAGACAGATACATGTGTTCATGAAAACACTTGTACTACAATGTTTATAGCAGCACTATTTATAGTAGCCCCTACCTAGAAATTACCCAGATGCTTATCAGCTGCATATTCACACAGTGTAATACTATATAGAAATGAAAATGAAAAATCTACCAAGTGTATCTCAACAGTATGGCTGCTCAATAGTGGAGTTGAAGCTCACAGATACGGTACTGAGAGAAGGAAATGTAAATGAGCGTTTATTGTACTGTATGGTTCTGTTTATGTTAAGTGTTAGATTAAGCCAGAACTAATCGAAGCTCTTAAAAGTTCCTGCAGTGACACTGGGGACTGCTTTGGGGAGCAGTGGATGGCAGAGTGGGTGAGGGGAACTTCTGGAGTGCTGTTCATGCTTCGTCCTCATACAGATGTGTCAGTTTGTGAAAACTCATCAAGCTGAAAAATTATATTTTGTGCCTTTGCTTTATGCATAGTCATAAAAGCTTTTAAAAAAGCAACATGTTGCCCGGCCGGGCGTGGCTCAGCGGTTGAGTGTCGACCTAGGATCCAGGCGATCGGGGTTCGATTCCCGGTCAGGGCACATGCCTGGGTTGCGGGCTAGATGATCAGTGACTCTCATCATTGATGTTTCTATCTCTGTCTCTCCCTCTCCTTTCCTCTCTCTGGAATCAATAAAGATATATTAAAAAGAAAAGAAAAGCAACATGTTAATATATTGTAAATTTACTGCATTATACATTTGATGATAATTAAGGTGCCAGTCTATATGTGCTATTTTTGTTTAGCACCCTGTTTAATCAGAGAATTACAACGAAGACAAGAAAGGTGGGCATCCAGTTTCTGAGTTTCCTAGGCATTGGTAGTTTTCTTGAGCATCCTATGTATTAGCATAAAGTATCCCCCCCCCCCAGAAGATAGAGATGAGGAGGGTTCTTGATTTAGAGCAAGTGTCCTTTTAATAATAAGGGACCGGCCCCAGAGGGTGACACTAGGCATGTGCACCTGGCTTAAGGCAGCACCTTCTTGGCCACTGCTATTTAAGGGACTTCTGCCAGATTATTAGCAAAGCCCATGGTTACCTCATACAGACTTTGTGGATGAAAGAAAGTGAATTTGCATTTAGTTTTAAGTGGCTCGCATCTGAGGGAAGAATAGGAATTAGTAAGTTACCTTATTTTATTGGGAAGTTACTCTTTCTTTAGCATAATCAACAGGAAAGATAATGCCTAATAATTTAAGACCTGTTTTGTAAGAATTCAATTTTTCATTAATGCCAATAGTTTTTTGTACTTTTAGCTTATGTGTATTTTTATACATTGTAAGTTTAAAAATAAAATGCTGCTTGACTGAGTAGCTCAGTTGGTTGGTAGGTCAATTATCCGATACACCAAAAGGTTTTAGGGTTTCAGGTTCGATCCCTGGTCAGGGCAGGTACAGGAGGTGGCTGATTGATGTTTCTCTTTCTCTCCTTTCCTCTCAAAAAAAAAGAATCAATAAAAACATATCCTCAAGGGAGGATTTAAAAATATAATAACAAAATTAAAAAATAATAAGGCATGCTTGTCATATGCATTCAACAATATAGAAATGATTAAAAGCAAAGACCTTTTTAAAGCTCTTCTTGTAAACCCATTTTTTATTATTTTTTGGTTTGTACATATCGTAAATTTATTTATCCTAAGATGCATGTTAGCCTTGGCTGGATAGCTCAGTTGGTTGGAGCGTCATCCCCGTACACCAAAAAGTTGTGGGTTGGATTCTTCATCAAGGCATATACCTAGGTTGCGGGTTTGATCCCGGGTCAGAGTGCCTACAAGAGGCAACCGATCAATGTTTCTCTCACATCAGTGTTTCTCTCTCTGTCTCTACCCCCCTTCCTCTCTCTCTCAAATAAAACAAAACAAGACACCCAACATATCCTCGGGTGAGGGTTAAAAAAAAGCATTTTCTTACCCCATATTTTAACATCTCTAAGATTGGGGTGTCTTTCAGTTGATGTCCACCAGGTGGCAGTCACGATGGAGCTGTCATCTCAAGGACATGGGAAAATTGGCCTCAGCTGCTTTTTCTTCACTTCAGTTCAGTTATATGCCTTAATAGTACTACGCAGGTTCACTTTAATTGCTGTTATAAGTGTCTTGAAGAGAACTGTATGTACTATAGTTTTGCATTAATGCAAAAAGTTTGTGTGCGTAAAGGCACAGAAAAGGCAGCAGAGGATGTAAATTTAACATGAATGAAGTAAATACTCATTGTTGGAATGATAACCACAGTTCTAGTAAAAACCAAATGCTTTACGGAATCAAGGAGGGGAACTATTCTGTGGTAAATAAAGGTATGCGGCATTTTATTCCTGAAACGTGCAAAAGCATTCCTTACCACAGCTAAGCAATGAAATTTAAGGCAGGAGGAATTACCAAATCCTGTGGGATAGATGGTTGGTATGAGCACTAGACCAGATTATTTAAGTTAATATCTTGTGGACATCTTTTCAATTTAATGTATATAGATTTACCTCATTCTTTTTAATGGCTTCATTTTTTTAATTGTCTGAATATATTACAATTTTTAAATGCCTTATTGATGTGCAAGGTTTCAAATTTTTGCTATTAAAAACAATGTAGCAGGGACTATCTTTCTACATATGGCTTTTCTAATTGAGGCTAGTGTTTCTATGGAATCAATTTCTAGAAAGTCTGTGCATTTTCATTGTTTGATAACAAAAGATTTAAAAGTTTAAATAAAAAAATAAATGATTGCAACTATACAAAAAGTTAATTTAAAAAAAGTATTTGCTTGGTTTAGAAATGTCAGTCATTGTTAGGAAATATACCAACATGCTAATAGTGGTTGTCCTGGGGTAATGGGCTTCTGTGTGACTTTTTGAAAAACTTTAATAGGAAAAACAGAATTTAGTTTAAAAATCTAAATCCTATTGAAACCAGTACTATTTAGAAGTTCTGGGATTATGAGCAGTTGGAGAATAGGAACTATTGTGTTGCCAGGTAATTCATTTAGCATAATGCAAAACACATGAAACAAATTCAGAAGAAGATGTTAGAAGCATGTTGAATTGATTTTTTTTGTTCTAACAGAGAAAACACTTACTATCGATTCTTTTTCAGGGTTTTTTGATTAACTCCAAACCAGAGAATGCCTGTGAGCCCATAGTGCCTCCACCGTTGAAAGATAATTCGTCCGGCACTTTCATTGTGTTAATTAGAAGACTTGATTGTAATTTTGATATAAAGGTAATGTCTGCTTTTTTATTTTTTTGTTACTGTTTGCTTAGTATTTTGAGCACTCTCTTGTTGCAGAAAGGATTTAAGAAGCTCACTCGACTCATTCAGATTAAATGAAGGAATGAGGGCAAAAGGAAAATGAGGAGGTGAAGGCAGAAAGGCAGGAGCAGGTTGACGCGAGTCTTATTTTTTGCCACAGTAGCAGCCAGTACAAAGGGGAAGACACCGTCGGTGTCAGGATTCACAGTTTTAGTAAGATTCACAGCAAACAAATTGACTAGGATATAAATAATTCTGTAAGACTTAAACGGTGGTGGCTGGGCTTCTTTGAACTGTGGTGGAATAGTGGAACGTTGCTTGATCCCAAGTCTAGGACTGAAAGTGTTAGCCTTTAGTTTTACATCTTCACTCTATCACACCTATATCCGTACCTGTGCCGGCATTGGGATTTCTCACTGTAACAAGCTGATTCTGTTACCTGTATAAAGTTTGTCTCCCAAGAACGGGTTAAGCTCGCATTTCAGATAGTGAAACAAAATTTGCTGTAGGACTTCCCTCCCGACTATCAGCGCTACTCTAAAGGTGTGGTTTTCTGATACTTTTAATACTGCTTTTACAAACCTGTTTTTGTACTGTGCCTGAATTTTGTTTCCTTTCATTTCATGAAAGAACACCTCCACGGTAAACTTACTAAAGGAATGAAAATAATAACTGTATTATTTGGGGTTTGAAAATGTAGAGCACTTTGTAAATAATAGGTATCGTTACTATTTTATATTAGTTCCAAATCTAAACTCTCATTTATTAGGGCTTGAAGTCAAATGTAGTAGATTTCCTGCTCTTCAGAGTTCTTATGTTGTTTATAATATTTTGAATTTAAAACCATTTTAAGATTTGATGCAGAACCAAGCTGTAATGATTATAGAGTGTTCCAACAAAAATGAAATATTATTTGATAATTCATTAATTTTTGCGTCTAAAAAATTAAACTTAATGCTGATTCCAAGGTTTATTACACTGTTGTGCTATGTAATTTTTGGCTCAGTTCAGTCTTTGGTAACTAGAAACCAGAATACTTTTATTTTTATTTTTTATAATTTCCTTTTTTAGATGGGTATGAGAGGTGATTCACTGCAAAATTTAGGGAAATACTGTCATTTATTTATTTGAGGGTGAAAGCACAACCCTGGAATGTATAGGTAGGCTTGTGAGTGTGTCTTCATCCTCAGCATGCGTCTGAGTGCCTCTCAAGGTGTTCTGTGCTTTGTGATTCCATCTCACTTCTTCCCACTTCCCACCTACTTGAAGTCTCTCAGCTCGCTGTGCCATGCTGACCACACCTTTGTGCCTTTACATGTACTGTTTTTTCTGTTCAAGGTCTTTGTCCAAGATGACCTTTCCGCCTTTGTTTCTGATTGTTTCGTCGTTTAAGTGAGAGCTGAGGATGTTAACTCCTGTGGAAGCCTTTTCTTTCTACCCTCTCTGGCAGAATGAATCATTCTACCTCAATGTACCACCCTTCCACTTTGTAAATACCTCCCTATTGCTCTTTATCCCATTGTTATTTTTAATTATATATATTTCACTTATGCGAGCATGTTTAGAATTCATGTTTTAATTATATTTCTATATCTAATTTGTATCAGAGTGCATGGTAGGAGAGCAATAAAGATTTGTTAAACTGTGTTGTATAGTAGTAAGCCTTCTTACTTATATGTATAATGTATTCTTTAAAAACATGTACTTGTAAAAAACATGTAAAAACGTTTCAATTTGAGGATTCTCATCTTAGAAAGGAAAATGTTAAAAAATTTCCCATTATCCCTCACTGTGTAGTACAATTGAAGTAAAATTGATTAAGGTAATGATGGGAAAGATGCTGACTGTAACAGGCTGAGAAGTCTCACAGTCTGCTGTCTGCAGGCTGAAGAACCAGAAGCCAGTGGTATAATTCAGCCTCAGTCCAAAGACCTGACAACCAGGGGTTGGTGTAAGTCCTATAGTCCAAAGGCCCAAGAATTATAATTTGGCTATTACTCTAGCTTATCTCGAGAGAAAGGGAATTTGCCCTTCTTTTGCTTTTTGTTCTGTTTGGGTCCTCGGTGAGTTGGATGATGCTTACCCACATTAGTGAAGACTGATCTTTATTCATTGTACTGAATCAAATGCCAGTCTTTTCCTGAAACATCCTCACCTTAAAATGTTATCTCAGCTATCTAGGCATTTCTTAGCTCCGTCAAGTTGACACATAAAATTAATCATTACACTGACTTTTCAGAATCTAAATTATTGGCTGATAATTCATGTTGTGATATCGTTACTCAGTGTCAGTTGATGTTTAAAATTTCTAACTTGGCTTATAAAGGACAGTTCAAGTTATGCCAATGCATGGAAATAAAATGTGTTTCATAAATACACAAGAATAAGAATTATGGGTCACCTGTCAAAGTAGTGTGAATTGATAAGAATAAGTTCCTCATGATTACTGAAAAACAACTGGAATCCCATCCTACAGAAAATTTTCTTTCTAAGAGTGGTCACTGGTATATAGCCTTTTAGCTTTATTAGCTATAATCTTCAGATCAGAAATCTATGCCTGTATTTTCTGGGCATTCAAATTGGTGATTATGTATAGTTTTATATTAGGTATGCTATGGAACCTAATTATTTACTTTTTTTTTTTTTCTTAATTGCAAATAAATAGCTTGTTGTGGATAATAAATAGTGCTTCATTTATATATAGCCACAATTTTATATGAATGTAATGACTGAAGTAGAGAGAAAAATAACTCATTTCTTCTTTACTGATGTAACAAACTGGGATTGGTACTGAGGAAAGCTTAATTCAGATCATACAGAATGCCGCAGTTGATAGTAATTGCAAGGTTATTATTATTAGTTTTTGCCATGATTCCTATCCAGAGCGACACACAAATTATCTCAGACAAATGAGAATTGGCTCTATCTTACAAAGCTTTCCTTGGAGAGAGGAATCCTTTCCGTTAAAGACAGCAGAAGAGAAAAGAAGAAATAAAATTATATCAAGATACTTAAAATGATTAATGGTGTTCCAGGGTTTTACTTTTTGTAAATTCTTTAGATTTTCTTTGAAGATGAATATTGTACTGTAATTAAAGATGTCTCTTATTTCTTCCATAAAAGTAAATGACTTGAAAGTTGGGTGCTAAAATAATAGAAATGGCAGAATAAAAACTATTCCAGGCCTGGCCAGTGTGGCACAGTTGGTTGAGCATCCTCCCATGAACCAAAAGATCACCAGTTCGATTCCAGGTCAGGGTACATGCCTGGGTTGCAGGTTCGATCCCAAGCGGGAGACATGCAGGAGGCAGCCAATGGATGTTTCTCTCTCTCATCGATACATATATATATATATATATATTTTTTTTACTTTATCTTCATTGTTGAAAGTATTACAGGTACCCCACCCCCTCCCATTGATTCCCTCCACCTTGCTCCCACACCCTCCCCAACCCTTCACTCCATTATTGTCTGTGTCTATGGGTTATGCATATCTGCATATAACTTCTTTGGTTAATCTCTTTCCACCCCCCACCCCACCTTCCCTCTTCCCGTTGAGATATGACCGTCTGTTGCATGCTTCAGTGTCTCTGGGTCTGTTTTGTTCGTCAGATTCTTTTGTTCATTAGCTGCTGCTTAAAGAAGACCCTTCAAGATTTCATGTAATACTGGTTTGGTGGTGATGAACTCCTTTAGCTTTTTCTTATCTGTGAAGCTCTTTATCTGACCTTCAGTTCTAAATGATAGCTTTGCTGGGTTGAGTAATCTTGGTTGTAGGTTCTTGCTTTTCATCACTTTGAATATTTCTTGCCATTCCCTTCTGGCCTGCAAAGTTTCTGTTGAGAAATCAGCTGACAGTCCTTTGGGTGCCCTCTTGTAGGTAACTAACTGCTTTTCTCTTGCTGCTTTTAAGATTCTCTTTGTCTTTAACCTTTAGTAATTTAATTGTGATGTGTCTTGGTGTGGGCCTCTTTGGGTTCCTCTTGTTTGGAACTCTCTGTGCTTCCTGGACTTGTAAGTCTATTTATTTCACCAGGTGGGGGAAGTTTCCTGTCACTGTTTTTTCCAAATAGGTTTTCAGTTTCTTGTTCTCTTTCTTCACCTTCTGGGATCCCTATAATGCAAATATTGGGCCGCTTGAAATTGTTTCAGAGACTCCTTACACTATCTTCATATTTCTGGATTCTTTTCTCTTTTTGCTCTTCTGGTTGTGTTTTTTGTTTCCTTCTGTTCCAAATTGCTGATTTGATTCTCAGCTTCATCTACTCTACTGTTGATTCCCTGTAAATTATTCTTCATTTCAGTTTGTGTAGCCTTCATTTCTGAATGGTACTTTATTATGTCATTTATGATCTCACTAGTTTCCTTAATAGTCTTACTAAGATCCTTGAGCATCCTTGTAACCGTTATTCTGAACTCTGTATCTAGTAGCTTGCTTGGCTCCATTTCATTTAGTTCTTTTTCTGGAGTGTTCTTTCATTTGTGACATGTTTCTTTGCCTCCACATTTTGGCTGCTTCCTGGTGTTTGTTTCTATGTATTAGGAAAAGGTGCTATGTCTCCTGGAATTGGTAGAGTGGCTTTGTGTAGAAGGTGTCCTGTAGGGTCCAGTGCCTCAGCCTCCTTAGTCACCTGAGCTGGGCCTTCCAGGAGCCCCCCTGTGTCTCCTGTGTTACAGTCCTGTTGTATTTGAGCCTTAGTTGCTCTTGGTGTCACTGGGAGGAATTGACCCCCCGGCCAATCAGCTATGAGGACCAGATGCAACTACAGCCAAAGAGCTGGTGTGCTGGAGACACCCCTGTGGAGCAGGATTTATTTTAGTGGGGCTTTGGTGTTCACTGAATGTGCCCCCTGACTGTGTCACTTGTGGATATGGTAGGGTTGTAATCCAGTGTGGTCAAAGCTGACCACTGGGTGCACTGTCTCTGGGGCTTCGTGGGCGGTGAAAAGCCAGCCTCTACTTGTGCCTTG